ACAGAGTCCATCATTTCCCATGAGAATGCGTTGTTCGAGAATGAGAAGTATATCTACGAAGTGATAGGGTTACATTCGGACTGCCGGACGGGTGTTCTGAATCCTGGATTGATTTTCTACTCGCTTGTTGATCGTCCTACCCATGCAGCAGTGGAGCCAATATTTTCCACTGCCACGAGGGTGCCTGGTTCCTGACTTCTTAGTCTCGACGGGAGGGACGGTTCAAATGGCCTTCCAAATCAATAATTCACCAATTCCCAAGAAAAGTGACTCCGTCACAGGCCACGCCTTGCTCATCCCCACTACTGAGCTTGTGTCGAGCCCAGTCATAACCGTGCATGCACCAGAAGGGTTGAAATATGCTCTGATCTAGTGATTGATTGCCTTAGACTGGCGCATCTACTTGATTTGCTACAGGATATTGGACCACATTTGCTGTGTGTTCTCGCGTCTATGGCTAGTGGATCGTCCTTGCAAATCACTAACAGCCACACAGATCAGGAAAGAGATGATGCTGCAGTCTCTTGTTGGTCCCTGAAGATCCATCTGCACAACTCTGCTCCATTCACTTATCCAGTAATACTGCCAGTGCCAATATGAGATAACCTACATAAAACATGGTGCTTTGTCTCCTCCCCGGTTACGTTTGTTCCTTTTCCTTCCTAAGATCCCCATCTTCCTCCAGCCTGCACACAGTGATATACAACTGCTGTCTGCCCTGGAGTTATATACCGTGCCGTTGAACTCCCTCTTTTTGGTCACTCCTTTTTTACTGTGTGCCTTGCTTGATAGACTTGCATGTTTGCATAACGCGACTTCAATATCCGCCCTGACTACGGTCGTCCATTCCTTGAAATCACAAACCCCAGATCCATCTTGACCCTACTGAAATTATCATTCCTTATCGGTTACCATACTCAATTCAAAATGGCGATTACTTCTAGAGGGAAGAGTATGATTGCCATTGTGTCGGTGCTAGTCGGCCTTTCGGTACTCGCCGTCATCCTCCGTGTCTTTGCGAGGATCAAACGGAGAGTCAAACTTGGAGTAGATGACTACTTATGCTTCTTGTCTATTGTTATGTTGATTGCCATGCAGATTGAATTGATTCTCTGTAAGCCTCATCGCGCCCAGCGCTTCAAGCCTGTTGCTGACCACATGTGACAGGGGTTGCCATTGGAGGCAATGGGCAGCATCAAGCAGACTTGGACATGGAAACGATGACGAACTTTGGCAAGGTCAGTAACGCAATTTACCTTGTCACTTCCTTCCAGCCGTGTTGCTGAACCTTGCCGGTTAGATCTTTCTGTCGAATCAGTTCACCTACTTCATACTATGTCCTGCTATCAAGATCTCCATCATCTGTTTCTATCGTCGGCTATTCAACACGAAAAATTTCCAACTAGTGACATTCGCTCTCAATATCCTTATCGCCTGCTGGGGAGCAGGTATTTTCCTTGCTTGTGCCCTACAGTGCCGTCCTCTCAGGGCGTACTGGGACAAAAGCATCGACGGTCACTGTTTTGACGGGAACGAGTTCTTCATCGTCAACCAGGCCTTCAACGTCATCATGGATTTCGTCATATTGGCCTTGCCCATTCCTATGATCTGGGGCCTACAAAGAGCATGGCAGGACAAGCTCGCCTTGAATGGCGTATTCGCCCTAGGTGCCTTTGTCTGCTTCGCTAGTATCTACCGGATCGTCGTGCTCTTCTGGATCAAGACATCCGATACAACCTTTACCGTCTACCAGGCCACACTTTGGACGCATGTCGAGCCGTCCATCGGGCTTATCTGCTCTTGCCTCCCCATCATCCGCGGGCTCTTTCCAAAACTCAAGTTGTCCGGTAGCCGCAAGACTACGGCTCCTTACTACATCAAAACCGACTACACTGGCTCTCACCTTGCCACTCTGTCCAGCCCGAAGTCCCCTGCGTCCGCGTACTTTAAGATGGAGGAAGGTCTCATCTCCCGAGCCACTACCGATACCGAGGTCCCCCCGGACGATTACCTCAGCCCTAAGGACATTGCAGTTCGGACGGACATTAAGATCAGTCAGGACGCTGCGTCTCTCAGATCACAGAGCTGATAACTTGTGATTTTTTTTTACGCCGACATATACGCAGCAAAGGAGAGTAATTAGCTCCTTCCCAAAGACATTCGTGGACCTAGTTTCTCCCGTCCTATCCACGTCGACAAACTAGGAGAGTCCTCTCCCACGGTTTCGCCGGACTATGATACCGGAGCTATCAAGTCCACTTCTCCAGATGGCGAGAAATCAAGGAGCCTCACCCCTATCCATTCCAGCCCCCGGTCCGGGCCCTCGATTCGTGAGGTTTTATTGGCCTTGACTCGGTCGGAACCAACCATTGCCTGACGCTGGAGGTTCACCTCCAGCCAGGATGATCCTTATACCCAAATGGGAACACTCCTTCGCTTGACGGTATCTAGAAGTAGATATACCCATCTGTCTGTCACTCATTATATTATCAACATCGGTTATTGTCAATTCTTCCAATTGTCCTTCATTGTCATGTATTTTGATACCCGCCAGTCTCTCGAATTGAGCGGACCGAAGACCTTCGTTTACCCAATTGTGATGCATAGCAAACCTATAAGTGTCTAATACATGATATATTAAGCCTAACGAATCGGATTCACTGAATATCTTTCAATAGAAATATAGATAATATTGCTCGGGTTCATTGTTCGTCAAGTTGCTCCATTTATAGCGCTCTATTGCATCATCTGTCCCACAGCAAACTCCTAAACACCATTAGCCACTGGTCGTCTACCAGACTGAATGAGCACATACCGGAAACGCATCTGTAATACTAGCCGCAACCCGTTCCACATCCTCCGCGAGACCCTGCACCCCCGCATCCCATTGCCGGATATGTCGTCCCGTTGCAGTGGCCGACCCGCCCTCGCTCGAGTCAAAGTAAATCACACCGGCGATTTGGTCAATGCTACCGTTCAATCGACCCTGCTCGACCATCCGCGCCGCGTAGGCCTCGGCCTTTTCGCCCGCCGTCATGTCTCCGCTCTCCTTGAGACCCAGGATCGCACCCAGTGCGTCTGTCGTGATGTTCTCGTAAAGCTTACTTGCGGCGACGAGGTTATGCTCCACGACAGCCTTGTCAAGCACTGTGGTGCCGTCTGCCGTCCGAGCCAATTGGTGCGGAGCTAGTCGTTCAGAAAACGCAGCAATCTCAGCTGGATCCAGGAGTCTATCCAGGAACATCTTTTCAAGGATCCCGAACTCCTCAACGGAAGTCGCACGGTCGTCCTTGTACAGCGTAGCAAGGATGCGAGAGCGCTGCGGTCCCGCCGGGGCAAGCACCGCACACCGAATCGCAGCCGCAAGCGCCTGTAGCCGATCGCTCTCGTCCACGCCACCAGCCAAACTGACATTGAAGTATTCCTGGCTCGCATCCAGGAACCGCCGTCGCGCATCGAGGATCCGGGCCTGCGACAGCTTGAAATGGAGCTTCAGCTCGTGGTCCTCGATCTTGCTAGGCAGGTTCTTGATTTTGTTCAGGAAGCCCTCTGCGCTGGTCGTGTCGTCCTCCTCCAGGTATAGCCGTACAATCCGGATCCATAGTCGCACCTTGGCAGCGTCCGAGACGAGTCTCTGCGAGCTGTCGATGTGGATGCCCTGCAGTGCCCGTGCGGCGGCCGCGTACTCCTCCTGGGACTCGTATGCGTCCGCGAGAATCTCGCGAATCTGGGAGTCTTGCTCCTCGACGGATGAAGAGCGAGATTGGAGCAGTGTTACTGCATGCTGGCCGACTTTGATCTGCGTTTCGGGTGTGAGTTTCTGGAGGACGGTGATGAAGGAGTCGAGGAGCGGTCGCGCCGCTACAATGCTAATTTCTTCGCTGAGTACCGAGTCAAGATAGTAAATCAGGTCTTGGCCAAGCTCATGCTCGGATGATGTGGATGTGATCTCGGAGAGAAGGTTGTTGTACTGCTGGAGCTTGGTCTGTGGGTTGGTGGACGACTCAATCTCCGCGAGTGCGGAGGCGATTCTCTGAGATGCCATAAGGGGGTGTGTTGGCTGATGGAACAAAGTGCAAGGCTAATCTAGTCAATTATCTGACTCAATAGCAGTACTATTAGCGAGCAGATGCGAGAAGAAGAGCGCTTGATGGGTTGAAAGTGACGCTTGGGCAAAGAGCGGAGCAGTTGATGGAGCTCCGCTTATCGATAAGGCTCGTTGTGCTGGGGACATACAACAATACAACAGGTGGAGAGAACAAGAGAATTAGAACCGACTACGAGATAACAAACATACTATGACTCTATCTGAGGCAATTGTTCAGATCAATTTACTCTGCAATTCCTATGTCCATGGGGTGAGCCTTTTAAGACTCTATCACAGCTTTAGCATTGTCAAAGCCTGCGTGTGTGTAATCCATGTCCCTCTTCCGGCATTCTACGAACACCTTTAATGGTGTTCTCTCTAAAGACTAGAAAAACGCTGGACCCAAGTCAGTCTGAATCACTCAGCTGAATTGAACCAGGCTCCAGCACAGTAGCATCCCCTAAGGCGATGTCTTCCCCTGTGACTTGCTGCGAGATGAAGTTTTGTTGACACGACGTTCGAGATGGCACGCTCAGAGCCCAAGGCAATCACCTCCACTGTAAATCAAGAAGATCCCAAGATCCTTTAGAGTCGACTTGTGTTTCACTAAGCGGAAGTGACCTCATAACCGGAATCATCCCAGGTTGTGACAGAATAGCAACTAGGCTTTGAAGCTGACCTGATGGATGTTGGGAGCCTAAATTCAACTCGAAACCATTATTTCATCGGGGGACACAGTGGCAGATTGGAAAAGACTGCAGCACCTATTCAGTGTATCAGAGGGGAGTAGACAGGCGCGGTGCATTATTGCTGCTCGCATGACCTTGGTGGATAATAACACTGCTAAATCCCTGGCGAGCTTATCATTATGTTGAGAGAACTCGCATCGGCCGATTACCAAGCACGTTAATAAATGCAACCCATGCTACTGCAAAGGACATTCAAATGAAGCTGGATGATGGATGATTGATTGCTGAACTGTTCATCGAGGGTTTGCTTTTGTTTCTTTGTGGTCACTGGTCACAATAGCGCCACCGCCCTTCGCGGACCCGCTCTTCGGCAGCTTCCTCTGGTCTCAGCGGCTGCATAGTGACAAGCTTCGACATCACGTCACTTGAGACTTCGATCCCCTATACAAGCCTTGATACGTTCACCCATTTCTCACGATACGTACGGTCGCATGGTTTGATATTGCTTGCTGGAGGAATTTGAGAGTCTCACGCCTTTGCTCGAGGAGGATTCGGCAGAATGTTTGCCCAGGTCAAGCCGGACCCAGACGCCCCAACGCCTTACATCAAGCCCGACCCCGATAATAAAGACGCTGTTCTTGCTGATATCGACGAGGATATTTACGATGACGATGGGGATCTAGACTTTTCAAACGCTGGGCAGAATGTGTGGCTTTCGCGCATCCCGCGCTCGCTGTGGGAACATTGGGCGAGTCTCGATGACGATGAAGAGATACAGATTGGAACGATGAGAATAGAGGGCCCACCGAATGATATTAAACGGGTAAGCCTTGAAGATTTTGAACTTCTTTTCAGTATTTTTCTCTTTGTTGCTGGCCCGGTCGTAACAAGTGCTCTCTGTAGGTCAGTATTCGTCTCAACGAACGAGAAGACAACCGCGATATCCCCAAGGACTACATACTGCAGCGGCAGACCATCAACCCCGGAAACGTAACATCACATGCGACACAAAACACCTATCTATTCACAGAAAAAGAAATACCTGGTCATGAAAATCGCATGGTGGTTTTCGGAGAAGCGCGATCGGCGTTATACGAAGCCATGAAGCGCGATGCAAGGAAAAAGGAGCGCAGGAAAAAATGGGAGCCATATGTGCGGCGAACGGTGCCTAGTACGTTTATATTGCTCTTGGAAGCGAAAAATTAGTCTGCTGACACTGTAGCAGAACAAACCGCCCTCGTAGGAGGCGTCAGCGAGGAGTTTAATTGCCTTCCAGTCGAGAACGAGGAATTCCGACGATTGTCAGAAAAGCGAGCTCTCGAAGCGCTTAAACCCAAACGTGAAACTGTGTTCATTGACAAGGTTCCAGGCAAGCTTCTCCAAGCGAGAAATGTATTGCCTGGAGAGAAAGGCGCCTTTGTGGTATGTTTTGAATGGATTCAAATGACTTCCCCGACGATTATACTAATGCGGAATGCAGCAAGCTACGAAGCCGGTCAAGGGAAAGGCCCAAGAGAACAAGACCACACGTATGCCGCAGAACGAACTACTGGATCTTATATACCAGTGCTTCCGCGAATACAAATACTGGCCTTTTAAGACGCTCAAGGCGAGACTCCGACAGCCAGAGGCATATCTCAAGCAGACCCTGGAGATGGTTGCGCATCTGGTCAAGTCCGGCGACTTTGCCATGACCTGGGAACTTAAACCTGAGGCCGTGGAAAGCAACTACGCAAATGCACTGTCCTACGGGAATGCGAAGGAGGAGCTTCCTCCTGGAACCGACTACAACTTTGACGACGGTTCCGAAGAAGAGGCCAATGCATCTGGCATGGTTACTGATAACGACGAGATGAAATTTGAGGACGTTGTCTAAGAAGTCAAGTTCTGTAGCATAGGCAGGTGATGGCGTTCTTTTGGGGTTTCTGGGCACATGTAAAGGACGTTTGGAGTCATCTACACTGGTATCACATAGCTAAAGATCCACCATCAGACTGGGTGGCGCAAGTGTGAATAAAATACATCAAACTCAAAGTGTGACATAAAGCGAATATGCATACAGTATCACTATCCTAGTCAATATGTCAAAGAGAAGTGAAACAGCCATGAACCGTCACCCCTCAATAGTAATGGAGTCCTAGAGCTGCTCACGTGACAGCGATACCGCCACAAGCTGACCATATCATGGACCTTCCTTCCCAGAATGAAACAAAGAACACTTACCTCTTAACTGTTCCTGCAACTTCCCATCGACTAGTAGAAAGATAGAGTCTTGAGCATATGTGCACACTGACTTTGGCCTTTCTGCCTTTCTGATACAGCTAGGCCGACATGACAGAAGACCAAGAGTTGATGGCTAAGATCAGCCAGCTAGCTGGTGAGCTTCCTCACTACCATCAGCTCAATTCTCTACCGCCAGCTGATACATTCTAGGCCAGATCAACAGGCACAAAAACCAGACACCCCAGGCACAGGCACAGGCACAGGCACATCATGGTAGCGAGCTTCATGCTGGTCCGTACGTGTCACGGCACACCCGCGCGCGTGCGGGATGGGCGCCGTATCGCGGACGACCATATGGACGCGGACGTCCTGCAGCTCCTCATCGCCACCGTACTCTCGTCCTCAATAACGCGAACTCAGGAAACTCCGCCAGTTCAACGCCCGGACCAACGAACGAGAATGTTAGCGAATCGCGATCGGCGACCCCGAACGGCTGGGTAGCGAAACGCGACCGTCATATGCAGCTGATCAACTCCGCTATTTACGATAAGGAAGCACAGGCCAGAGCGAAGGCGATGGAGCAGACGCGCAAGGCCAAAGCCGAGAAGAAGACACGGATAGAGCAGGCCAAAGTTCTCCGTTACGCGCAGGGCTTTGGCAGACCTCATCAAGCTACTACTGTTGCCTCTCAGGTTTCTGCCACCACCCAACCTCACGCTGAATATCAGGTCTATCTGAATGATATTCCTTTCAGAATTGCAAAAGGCGGCAGTAAACTGGTTCGCGTATCTGGTGGGAATCCCTTCTGTGCCCCCGCGGGCAGAAGAACTGGCTTACCTTTAGTAGACGACCCGAATACTGCCAACATCACACCAAAGAAAGTAACGGTTGCTGGTGTGACTTTTGTCAGGAGCAAGAACGGAAACCTTCACAGACTCGGAGCGGTGACGTCGAAAAGGTGATGCTTGCGATATCTTCAAGAGCGTTCAGAACTCACAGTGATCACAGAAAACCGACGGCAATCAAGAAGAGAAACGAGCTCTGCAAACGATTTACTTCGACGGGTACCAGCACTTCCCCAACCAGGCTTACGCCCCTTCTTTTATTTTCTTCCGCAATCTTACCTTCTCTCACTTGTTCACGGTCTATTTACTACTGTTTGAGCTGTCAGGGCTGATCTAATCTCTCTACATTTAGGTGCCTGTTACAAAGGACCATCATGTCTCTTCATTCACGATCCGAACAAAGTCGCCATTTGCAAGGAATTTCTGCAGACTGGTAACTGCAGCGCTGGTCAAAATTGCGACTTATCCCATGAGCCATCGCCCCACAGGTCCCCTGTTTGTGTGCATTTTCTGAGAAATCGGTGCTCGAATCCAGATTGTCGATACTCCCATGTGCGAGTGACACCTGGCGCACCCGTATGCAGAGATTTTGCAAACCTAGGATATTGTGACAAGGGCGCTGAATGTGAGGAACGACATGTTCACGAATGCCCAGATTATGCCGCCACCGGCGTTTGCAATAAGAAACGCTGTCGTCTGCCCCATGTCGACCGGGCTGGACAAATTCGAAAGAATGCTGCGAGTAAAGCAGATGCCGCGGACGAGGAAGAGTCTGACGAGTCAAGCGAGGAAGAAGAGTACGACGCCATCGACTCGGACGACGTTGACTCTGACGACCTCGACGATGAGCCTGAATACGTTGAAGGGGCTGACAATGGCGAGCAGGAGCTCTTCCAGCAAAACGACTTCATCCGCTTCTAAACTGTATATGCTAACACTCTCTTTGCACATATGCGCAAGTTTCGTAAATGAGGACTCGTTGATTCGCACTGAGCGACTCACGGTGGGAGTCAGTGATCCCATCTTATCGATCAACGTAATTGGTTGGACATCGGTGTTTCTCTCATTATGGCTCATGAAGGGTCTTGGTCAGCGGGCGGAAGATGATACCCCTTAGTATAGCTTTATGGTTTTTCACGATTCAGGACGACGTTGACCGGTGGCCTGTCGTTTGAGATTACTTGTTAGTTCCGGCGGAGGGTAGGTACTTGTGGTTTGATACATGGTTACAATAGATAGCCAACAATGGAATGGTTGCTCGTTATTGGCTATATGTTATGCTTCCAACATCTTCTCTCAAACGAGTTTCGTAAGAACAAAGCAAGATCGAACGCCGTGCCCTCTGTGCGATCATCTGAGCGATCTCGTCGCCCTCCCCAGACTCTAGGGAAACGCCTACTATCCGTCCTGCATCCCCCAGACTGAAGGTGTGAGTCATAGACTGATAGCAGCAGTAACGCAGTCAGGTACCCAACTCACCCAAGTGGGTAAAACCATATTCGAGGAACAGAGCTGCAGATATGGAACAAATGAGAGAACCAACCAGAAGTAATTTCTGTATAGGCCCCACAACCATCCCAGGTCCGCAATGCATAGGCCTACATTTGGTGCCTGAAGTTCCAGTAGTCAAACTAGCCAACCCCGTCCCTGAAGCTGAAACCTGATAGACATATGGACTCTCAAGAAGACTCACCGAAGATACGGGGTTGTGAGGACGCCGTCCTTTGACAAATCAACGTCATATGGTTATTTTGAATTTAGCTCGCGCAGACTGGCAGTGGTCACTTGGTCAGTGCTGATCCGCGCAGGATTGAGGATTCCATATGCTATACCTGGCCATGCCATGCCATGCCACGATATCCCGTGACTACCTTAGGACTCGTTATGGGTCTCTCCGTACCTGAGTGTGCAATATTACTGAATCTGGTTTGTATCCATTGGGATGCTGTACGCAATAGTCTACAAGTCGTGATTATGGTTATTTTGGGGTTCTGGTGTCCGTCCTGCTACACCGATCTTTCGGCGGGTACTGTGGGATGAGGAGCAGTTTGACTCGTCCCGTAGTCGCGTTGACCGCCAAAGACGGAGCTTGGAAGCTGATGTCCTTTCTATGGTAAAATGACCGAGAGTCGATTCCGATTCCGATTCTCGTCGGTGGTGGTGCGCAGACCATGGAGAATACAATGGAGGAGCTACCGGGCCGTGGGATTGGAACTTGCATGACGTTTTGACCTTGAGGGTGAAGCATACAACACTACTAAGGCGCAGGTGATAACCAAAGGATTATAATTGCATAGATAGGGTAATGCTGGCTCGTCTGAAGCTGTGAGAGTTACTCGCTGGGGAAGCGATGTCCATAAAGTTCTATATAGAATTACGCCGTCACAACCGCACCAAAGGCAAATTGTGAACATCATTGTGAAAGATGTTCCTGAAGGATGTAATAGCCACAATGCTTATAATCTCCTAAGCCAATTTCAGGGCAATTGAAACTCGATATACCACAGTTGGGATGATATCTTCGGCTAAGCCAGGACATGAGCCTGGCCTGACACGGCGATGAGGATCCGAAAGGAGTCACTAGTCTTCAAATTGGAGGTCAGATGATGGGCTCGATATGGGTCTCATTGGATTTCCGCTTAGGATGTGTATGGATTTCATTTCCATGATGAGCAGTGCTGAAAAAGCACTTCATTGAGTCCGACGGCAGAACGGAAGTTCAATGAGAGATGCGTCATTTCTCGCCTCACTTCACCATTCTAGAAAAGCGCAAGGGAGAAATTGACGCTGTGAGCAATTGACAGAAGTAATTTAGTCCTGTCTAAGATGCCATGACGTTCGTAGTATGACTGAATGATCAAGAAGCACAAACAGGATTACGTTGTCAGTAGTATATTCGGACGTACTTACTATGCATGGTACCACTTTCAGCTACTAGTCTGAAAGAGATAGCTGCACACTCTGTGTAAAAATCAACTCACTTGCTACGCGATTCATAGCAATTTCGGGCTCTCCACCCAATCTTCTTCTTGCTCTATAATTGGGTCGATCTTGCATGTACACCGCCAGAAGGGCGACATCCGCGCTCGTCATTGCCGACGGGCCGCAAGGTCATATCCGGCGTTATCTCAATTTCCTGTATGGGAAAGGAAGACGATGGCTTTCTGACAGAGAAATTAAGATTTTCGCATGAATTGTCAGGTGCTGTAGGGTTTCATGTGTTGGTGGATCATCCGTTGAATTGATTTCACCGTTTCTCAAGCTCCCGGAGCAATTGATGAAAGCCACTCTTTCAAAGTAGATTTGGATCTGATTGCTCGGTTGTATTTGGAGAGGGTGAAGCTCCCCGCTGTTTCAACTTGAAGTGTATGCTGCCTGCATGGCAGCATTTCTCTCTCCTTTGTAGCACGTGAAAGGTACTTCAGCCCTATTTCGGGGCCAATATTCGCAGACAGCAAGTATCGATTGGCCACTAGTAGCGTCTTGTCAAGGTGTCATTTCGCGGATTCAAGGCCAACGACAGGAAAAGCGTGGCACTGACGAAGAATAGTCGCCTTGCGTATCTATCTACTCCACGCTGTTGACAATCGCATCACCTGGTCTTCATATAGCTTCGAGCATCATGTATGATACCTGAAACAGCAGTTAGCCGTCGTGCTTCCGTTTTTGGAAATGGAGGAGAAGACGGTGCTTCCAGAAGAGTGAGTCATACTTGCCCTTTTGGGCTGTGGAGCCCCTGGTTCTGTTCCATCTCGTCGATAGCGAGACGCATGCTGCCGTGCTATACGCCCATAGGCTGATGGAATAGGGTTGCTGGCAGAAAGTGGACCTCGACAGGGTCGTTACCCGTGGACAATTCCTGGGTCCCAGTGCTGAAGTGGATGTAGGTTGGTTCATGTTCCTCTCAAATGGTCCCTGAGAGGCGAGAATTTAGTGACTTGATTTCGGGGCGTTTTGGCCAAGTCCTTCCTAGATCAGTCTCATTGTG